TTGATAGGAAAGTATTTACTATTACCATTTTACTAACTTATTACCATTTGTCTTGTAGTTCTTTTGTCCTTTTTCTCTCCAGCTGTCTTCTTTTGTGTTTTGTTGTTCTTATTATTTGTATTGATGGGCTTTGATTTCTTTATCCTTTTCTTTTGTGTATCTTCCATAACTATTTTCTACGTGGTTAACATGGGGCTTACATAACATATAGTTGTAATAGTCCATTTAAGATGAGAACTTAACTTCACTTACAAACAAATCTATACTTTTCTCTCCTCCTTCATTGTATGATGATGTCACAATTTACATATATTTATACTGTGTATCCATTAACATAATTTAGTTGCAGTTATTTTTAATACATTTGTCATTTAACTTTTACCAGAATTAAAAGTGATTTATCCAACACTGGAATAGTAACACAGAATTCTGTTTTTGCCTGTTTATTTACCTTTACCAATGAATTTCACAATTTCTTATGTTCTTGTGTTGCTATTTAGCATACTTCAGCCTTTGTTTATCTGAGAAATTCTTTATCTCCCCTTCATTTTTGAAGGACAAATTTGTCAGGTATAGTACTCCTGGTTGGCAGGTTATTTTTGTTTCCCTTTCAGTATTTTGAATATTTTATACCATTTCTTTCTGAACTTCACAAGATTTCTGATGAAAAGTCTGCTTATAGTCTTGTGGGAGTTCCCTTTTGTGTATCAAGTCACCTTTCTCTTGTTTCAAAATTCTGTCTTTAACTTTTGACAATTTGATTATAATATCTCTTGGTGTGAATCTTGTTTATCTTATTTTGTTTTCATGGACCTAGATGTCTATATTTTTCCCCAGACTTAGGAAGTTTTCAGCTATTATTTCTTTGAATACGTTTTCTGCTCCTTTCTCTCTTCTCCTTCTGGGACTCTCATAATGAATGGTCCTTAAGTCCCTTAAACTGTCTTCTTTTTTCTTCTCCTCCTCCTCCTCTTCCTCCTCCTTCCTCTTCTTCCCTGCTCCTCCTCCTTGCTCCTCCCCCTCTTGCTCCTCCTCCTCCTCTTTCTCCTTCTCCTCCTCCTCCCCCTTCTTCTTCCCCTTTGATTTCCAATGGCCTGTCTTTTAGTTTGTCCATTCTTATGCTTTATCTATTCTGTTTTAAAGTCCATTAGAAAACATTTTTTAGTTCAGTTATTGTATTCTTCAGCTCTGTGATTTCTACTTGGTCCTTTTAAATATTTTCTCTTTGTTGAAATTCTCACTTTGTTCATGCATTGCTCTCTGGTCCTTGGTGAGCATCTTTATGACCATTATTCTGAATTCTTTGTCATGTGAATCACAAACCTCTATCTCATTAGAGTCAGTTTCTGAAGACTTCTCTTGTCTTTTTATTTGGAATATATTTCCTTCTTTCTTTTTCTTTCATTTCCTTTTCAACATACTCTCTGTTGGTTTCAGCACATTAGATAAGACACCTACCTCTCCCAGTCCCTGTGGACTGGCCTGGTATAGGAGATAAACCTCACCAGTCCACGTGGCCAGAGATTCTGGGTGCCTCTCAAACCTTTGTCCTTGTCCAAACCACCAGATTGGATCTTAGTGGCCCCCCAGAGAATAAAGCATGCCTAGTCCTCAGTGCCTCAAGACGGGTAAGAAATAAGCCAGTTGCTCATACAACAGCTAGAAAAGCTGGGGCACTAGGTGCATAAACCAATTTCTTCTCTCCGCAGTGAGAAATTGGGAGCTGGACTTTGTCACTCACTTGCTCTGCAATGAACTTGGGAGAGGGACTGTGGCAATCTTCTGTGTTCTCATTCAGACCAACTACTCTTTCAAATGATTGCTTTGCTCCTTGTTGTTCCCAGGGTCTTAGCAAATGCTGGGTCATGTTAGTTCTCATGGACAGGAAGGTTTAAAAACCAGTCCCTTGGGTAGCAGCTGGAAAGGTAGGGGGGTGGAACTTGAGGTGAAGTCCAGCTCCTTCTGGGGAGAAGCTGGGAACTTGATTTTATTGCTACAGCAGGCTAAGGGTAGGGGCTGAAGAAGGTGCCCACACACATTTTCAAACCCCCAAGAGGCTAATTGTTGCCTGTCATGTAAGCTCTCAAAGACAGGAAAGTTAGAATCCAGACCCTCAGGCAGAAAATAGAAAAGTCAGAGCACTAGTATGCAGTCTAACCCTTCCAGAGAGATGGTGAGAGCTGGGTTTTATTGCTGGAGTAAACTGAGAGTAGGAGTCATGGGGAGAGCATGCAAGGCTATTCCAAATTGTTGCTTTCTCTGTAGCCCCTGGTGGAACTAGTGAATGCCGGGCCCTCAGCTCCGAGAGACAGGCAAGTTAGACCCTCAGACAGCAGCTGGAAAAGTCAGGACACTAGCTGCATAGTTAAACCCCTTCCAGGGATAAGCAGGAGGCTTGTTTTTTCACTGGAGTGAGCCAAAGGGAGAAGCCATAGGGAGTGCCCACGTGCCCATTCAAACTCCCTGAGGACTGAGAATTGGCTCCCAGATGCGGACTAGTTAGAAAGTAAATCCTCAGGCAGCAGCCAGAAAAGTCAAAGTGCCGGGTGTGCCGTCAAACTCCTTTTAGGGAGCAGCTGGAAGCTGAGTTTTATTGCCTGTTCTCTCAGCATCTAGCCAAGGGGAAGCAGCCAGGTGCTTGTAAGTATTTAAAACTGTCTCATTATTTCTTGAGGTCTCAGGGGACTAGCCAATGCCAGGCCCCATCAGCTCCCAAAGATGGGTGACTGAGAAGCCAGTCGTTAGGTAGCAGCCATAAAAATTGGGATGCTAGATGTATGGTTCAAACCCTTCACTCCTCGGGCTGAAGCTGGAAGTTGGGGGATTCCTCCCATTGTACGGCACGTTGCTGGGGGTGGGGTTGGCAGTGAGAATATGTCTAAGATTTTTCTGTTGCACTTTTCTGTTTCATTCTGAGTCACCCAGTGTGTAGGAGTCTCTCTAGTTTCTGGATTTCTCTCAGAAGTATTGATCCACGTGTAGCAGTTCATTCATAGCAGTAATAATTATTGAGTCCACGGGTGAAGGCTCTTTTAATTTACCTATTCAGACACTACTTCCAGTGCACCCTCTGATCTCTTCAAAGCATACTGAGACTGGATTTCTAAAGAAAATATTCTGACCATCATCAGCAAGTCTAGTTCAGCTAGTACATATTTATTGACTGTGCAGAAGAGACTGTGCCAAGCGCTGTGGGGGAAACAGAGATAAACCAAATATGGCCCATGACCTCAAGAAACTTTCTGTAGTGGGACAGATGCATCAAACAAACAAACAAAAGGTAGATCACACTAAGGTTGCTAAGACAAAGACTGAAAGTTTTAGGAAAATGGATCTCTCATCTTGTTTGAAAATCTTGGAAGGATTTGTGGAAGAGGGAAATGTTTGAGTTGAAGCAAGAGGTCTAATTTGCAACTTTTAACCACTTACTGATAGCAAGTTGCTGCAGCCCAGCTGGGTAAGGGAGTGGAGCATTTCACCATCACAACCACAGCCAGTTTAAGAACCCAACTGTAGCTCTATTCCTGAGCATGTCACTGTGTGCAGGCTGATGCCTGAAAGTTTCACTTCACTACATTTCTGTGACTTCCTATAATGTGGAACTTCAGAGAGCTGTAGATGTGTACGGTCAACCTAGACATCTAAAGCAGTGCTGTCCAATAGAATTTTCTAGGATGATACAAATGTTCTTAATCCACATTGTCCAGTATTGTAGCCACTAGCTATGTGTGGCTAGAATGAAGGAATAAAATTTAATTAAAATTTCTTTTAGTATCCAATGTGGCTAACAACCAGCACATTGCTCAGTGTGCAGGTCTAAAACTTTGGGTTTCTCTTAGTCACAAAATAATGCTGGGTCAGAATTTTTTGTACAGTTCAGGAAGTTAAATTAGTAGAATCACGGTCTTCTGGGGTTGCGGGGATCTACCTAAAGTGAGATAGGACTTCAATTTTGTCTCCATCTTTGCATGTCTGACACATTAACTTCATGTGATGAAATGAACAGAATTAAACCTTTCCAAGACATGTTCCAAGAACAGGAAACATCTTCACTTTTCCAAAAAGTTTGCAATGCTTTTTGACAAACCTGCATAGATTGGGGAAATAAGTAGAATGCTGGAAGAAAGAAACCACCAAATAAAGTAGCTTAAATAAGAGACATCTGGGCTGGAAGTCCACAAATGATATGACTAAATGATGATTTCAGGGTCCCAGTGCCTCCTTCCTTGTTGTTCCACTGTCCCTGAGGGTTGCCTTCAGGCATGTGGGATTCCAGATGTGGATAGAGAAGACCTTGGGAAAGCATGACCATTCTTTTTTTTTTTTTAATAGGACACATGACTTAATATTTTTTACATATGCACATACATGTGTGTTGTATATACGAATATATTCTTTTTCAGATTCTTTTCCATTGTGTTATTACAAGATATTGAATATAGTTCCCTCTGGTATACAGCAGGACCTTGTTTTTTATCTATTTTATATATAATAGTGTGTATATGTTAAACTCAGACTCCTAAAATATCTCTCCCCCCCCACCCCTTCCCCCTTTGATAACCATAGTTTGTTTTCTGTGTCTGGGAGTCTTATTTCCAGTTTGTCAGTAAGTTCATTTGCATCTTTTTTTTTTAAGATTCCACATGTAAGTGATATAAGATATTTGTCTTTCTCTGATTGACTTACTTTACTTAATATTATAATCTCTAGGTCCATAATTGTTGCTGCAAATGGCATTATTTCATTCTTTTTTCTGGCTGAGTAATATTCATATATATATAGGAATATTTGCATATGGATATAAAATGAAATATGTGGAATATATATATGGAATATAAATATGTATGATCCACATCCTGTTTATTCATCTGTTGATGGACATTAATGTTGCTTCCATTTCTTGACTATTGTAAACAGTGCTACCATGAACATTGGGTGCATGTATCTTTTCAGATTAAAGTTTTCTTCTTTTCTGGATATATGTCCGGGAGTGGGATTTCTAGATCATATGGTAACCCTATTTTTAGTTTTTTAAGGAACCTGCATATTGTCCTCCATAGTGGCTGCACGAATTTACATTCTCAGAAACAGTGCAGGAGGGTGTCCTTTTCTCTACACCCTCTCCAGCATTGATTATTTGTAGACTTTTTCATAATGGCCATTATGACTGGTATGACATGATTGTCACACTCATTGTAGTTTTGATTTGCATTTCTCTAATAATTAGCAATGTTGAGCATTTTTTCATGTGCCGATGGCCATCAGTATGTCTTATTTGCAGAAATGTCAATTTGGTCTTCTGTCCATTTTTTGATTGGGTTGTTTGGTTTTTTTGATATGAAGCTGTATGAGCTGTTTCTATATTTTGGAAGTTAATCCCTTGTTGATCTCATTGTTTGAAAATATTTTCTCCCATTCCATAGGTTGTCTTTTCATTTTATTTATAGTTTTATTTGCTGTACAAAAGCTTTTAAGTTTAATTAGGTCCTATTTTCTTATTTTTGCTTTTATTTCCATTATCCCACGAGATGGATCCAAAAAAATATTGCTGCAATTTATGCCAAACAGTTTTCTGCTTATATTTTCCTTTAGGAGTGTTAGAATATCTGCTTTTACATTTAGGTCTTTAACCCATTTTTTTTGTATTTTGTGTAAGAGAATGTTCTAATTTCAGTCTTTTCCATGTAGCGCCCCAGTTTTCCCAGCACCACTTATTGAAGAGATTATCTTTTCTCCATTGTATATTCTAAACTCCTGTGTCACAGATTGATTGACCATAAGTGTGTGGGTTTATTTCTGGTCTTTCTATCCTGCTCCATTGATCAATGTGTCTATTTTTGTGCCAGTGTCATACTATTTTGATGACTGTACTTTGTAGTATAGTCTGAAGTCCAGGAGTGGGATTTCTCCATCTCCATTCTTCTTAAAGTTGTTTTGTCTTCAGGGTCTTATGTTTTGCCATACAAGTTTTAAAATGTTTCATTCTAGTTCAGTGAAAAATGCCATTGGTATTTTGACAGGGATTGCATTGAATCTGTAGATTGCCTTTGGTTGTATGGTTGTTTTAACAATATTGATTCTTCCAATTGAAGAATATGGTATATATTTTCATCTGTTTGTGTTGTTTCAATTTTTCTTTAGCATCTTATAATTTTGGAGTACAGCTATTGCCTCCTACGTAGGGTTATTCCTGGGTATTTTATTCTTTTCTGATGTGATAGTAAATGGAATTTTTTCCCCTTCATTTCTGTTTTGGATATTTTGTTGTTAGTATATAGGAATGCAACAGATTTTGATATATTAATTTTTGTATCCTACTACTTTACCAAATTCATTGATGAGCTCTAGTAAGTTTCTGGTGGCCTCTATTAGGATTTTCTATGTATGGTATCATGTCATCTCCAAACACTGATGGTTTTCTTTCTTTTCCAATTTGGATTCCTTTTTCCTTTGATTGCTGTGGCTAAGACTTTCAAAACTATGTTGAATAAAAGTGGGGAGAGTGGGTATTCTTGTCTTGTTTCTCATCTTAGGGGGAATGCTTTTGGGTTTTCACCACTGAGTATGATGTAAGCTGTGGGATTATCATATATGGCGTTTATTATGTTGAGGTATGTTCCCTCTATGCCCACTTTCTGGAGAGTTTTTATCATAAATGGATTTTGAACTTCATCAAAAGCTTTTTTCTGCCTCTATTGAGATGATCTTACAGCTTTTACTATTAAATTTGTTAATGTGGTGTACTACATTGACTGACTTGCAGATATTGAAACATCCTTGCAGCTCTGGGATAAATCTCACTTGATCATGGTGTATGATCCTTGTAATGCATTGTTGGGGTTGATTTGCTGAGGATTTTTGAATCTATGTTTGTCAGTGATATTGGCCAGTGATCTCTTTTTGTGATACCTTTCTCTGGTTTTGGTATCAAGGTAATGGTGGCCTTATTGAATGAGTTTGGAAGTGTTCCTTCCTCTTCAATATTTTGGTCAGTTTCAGAAGGATAGGTGTTAACTCTTTTCTAAGTGTTTGATAGAATTTACCTTTGAAGCCATCTGGTCCTGGACTTCTGTTTGTTGGGAATTTTTAAATTACTGACTTAATTTCAGTACTGACAATTGGTCTGTTCATATTTTCTATTTCTTCCTGGTTCAGTCTTGGGAGATTGTGCCTTTCTAACAATTTGTCCATTGCTTCTGGGTTGTCCATTTTATTGGCTTATAGTTGCTTATAAGTAGCCTCTTATGATCCTTTGTATTTCTGGTGTCAGTTGTAAGTTCTGCTTTTTCATTTCTGATTTTACTGATTTGGGCCCTCTCCCTTTCTTTCTTGATGAGTCTGATTGTAGGTTTATCAGTTTTATTTTTTCAAAGAACCAGCTTTCATTTTTATTGATCTTTTGTATTGGTTTTTCAGTCTCTATTTCATTTATTTCTGCTCTGCTCTTTGTGATTTCTTTTCTTCTCCTAAATTTGGGTTTTGCTTTTCCTTCTTGCTCTAGTTGCTTTAGGTTTTAATTTTTCTTACATTTACTGAGGTTTGTTTTGTGGCCCAGCATCTAATTTATCCTGGAGAATGTTACATATGCACTTGAAGAATGTATATTTTGCTGCTTTGGGATGGGATGCTGTCTATGTATTAAGTACATGTAATCCTATGTATCATTTTAGATCAGTGTTTCCTTACTGATTTTGTGTCTGGATGATCTTCCCATTGATATAAGTGGGCTTTAAAGTCCCCTACTGTTATTGTGTTACTGTCAATTTCTCCCTTTATGTCTGTTAATATTTGCACATATGTGTTTACAATTGTTGTATCTTCTTGGGTTGATCCCTTGTTCATTATGTAGAGTCTTTTTCCCTTATAACAGTCTTTTTTAAAAAAATCCATGTCTGATATAAGTATTGCTATTCAGGCTTAGTTTTGATTTCCATTTGTATGGAATACTATTTCCTATCCCCTCACTATCAGTCTGTATGTGTCTCTGGATCTGAAGTGAGTCTTTCGTAGGCTGCATATATATGGGCCTTATTATTGTATTGATTCAGCCAGAATATATCTTTTGGTTGGAGAATTTATTCCATTTACATTTAAAGTGATTATCAATATGTATATTCTTATTGCCATTTTGTTAACTGTTATAAATTTGTTTTTATAGATCTTTTCTTTCCTTTTCCTCTTTTATTCACTTAGCTTACAATTTGGTAACTATCTTTAGTGTTTTGTTTGGATTCCCTTTTTATTTTTGTGTGTATATCTATTATAGATTTTTGGTTTTTGGTTACCATGAGGTTTTGGTATAGCAGTCTATCTTTGTGATTGCTTTAAGTTGCTGATCTCTTCTAATGCATTTTTATATACTCTGCATTTTGTACTCTCCTCCCCTCATGATTACTGTTTCTGATACATTTTACATTTGTTTTGTATATCCCTTAGCTGCTTATTGTGGATACAGATGATTTGACTACTTTTGTCTTTTAGCCTTCCTTCTGGTTTGTATGTATATGATTTCCTACTTTTATTGTATGTTTGCTTTTACCGGTGAGCTTTTCTGTTTTGTAGTTTTCTTGTTTCTAGTTGTGGCCTTTTCTTTTTCAGAGAAGTTGCTTTAGCATATTGTAAAGCAGGGCTTTTGCTTGTCTCTAAAGCTTTTGATTTCTCCATCAAATTTGACAGCTTTGCTGGTATTCTTGGTTGTAGATTTTCACCTTTCATCACTTTAAATATATCATACCACTTCCTTCTGGCCTGCTGAGTTTCTCTGGAAAAATCAGCTGATAGCCTCATGCGAGATTCCTTGTAATTTCGTTATTGTTGCTTTTCCCCTGTTGCTTTCCATAGTCTCTTTAATTTTTGTCATTTTGATTACAATATGCCTAGATGTTTCCTTCTTAGGGCTAATCCTGTATGGGACTCTGTGCTTCCTAGACTTGGGTGACTGTTTCCCAAGTTAGGGAAGTTTTCAGTCATCTCTTCAAATATTTTTCTCAGATCCTTTCTCTATTCTCTTTCTGGGACCACTATAATGTGAATATTTGTGCACTTGATGTTGTCCCAGAGCTCTCTTAAACTGTCCTCATTTCTTTTCATTCTTTTTTCTGTTCTGCAGTAGTGATTTCCGGTATCATCTTCTAGCTCACTGATCCATTCTTCTGTATCATTTAGTCTACTATTGGTTCCTTCTAGAGTATTTTTCATTTCAGTCATTGTATTCTTGTTTGGTGGTTGTTTATATTTTCTAACTCTTTATTAAAAACTTTTAACTCCTTGCTCTGTGCATCGGTTCTCCTCCTGAGTTCTCTGATCATCTTTACAATCATTGCTCTGAACTCTTTCTCAGATAGGTTGCTTACCTTCATTTAGTTTTTCATCTGGGATTTTATCTTCTTTGGAAAATACTTCTCTGCCACTTCATTTTGTCTAAATTTCTATTTGTATTTTTATGTATATGGTAGGTTAGTCATGTTTTTCACCCTTGGAGAAGTGGCCCTCTGTAGACATCCTATGTGCCCCAGTAGTGTACTCCAGAGTAGAGTCTGACCTGCCTTTTAAAACTTTTTTTTTATTGAGTTATAGTCAGTTTACAGTGTTGTGTCAATTTCTGGTGTACAGCACGATTTTTCAGTCATACATGAATATGTATTTGTTTTCATACTTTTTCACTGTGAGCTACTACAAGATCTTGAATATATTTCCCTGTGCTATACAGTATAAACTTGTTTATCTATTCTATACATACCTGTCAGTATCTATAAATTTTGAACTCCCAGTCTGTCCCTTCCCACCCCCGCCCCCAGCAACCAGAAGTTTGTATTCTGTGTGTGTGAGTCTGTTTCTGTTTTATATTTAAGTTCATTTGTCTTCTTTTTTTGATTCCACAAATGAGTAATATATGGTATTTTTCTTTCTCTTTCTGGCTTATTTCACTTCGAATGACACTCTACAAGGACATCTATGTTGCTGCAGATGACATCATGTTGTCATTTTTATGGCTGAATAGTATTCCATTGT